CCTTTATCTTGTTGTGGTGCTCGAGTATTTTATAAATTCTAGATAAAAGTCCCTTGTCTGACATGTCATTACCAAAAACTTTTTCCCAGTCTGTGGCTTCCCTTTTTACCCTGTTAGAGAAGTTTCTGGATGCACATAGGGATTTGATTCTTAGAAGGTCCCATTCATCTATTTTATCTTCTCCTGGTTCAGAGTATTCTTTGTATCCGGTGAGCTGTAATTCCTCCTGCCTTTTGATTTTGAGTATTGGTTTGCTCATAGGTCCTTAGATTTTATGCACTTTAAAATCTCATTTCTGTATCATTTGCTTAATGAACTCCTATCCATTGGCCTTGAGTTCTTGACTGAAAACTAGCCTTCCTAAACGTCCTGGTTTCCAGGCTCCTACCTGGTAAATTTCTCAGTCCATTTGGTTGTATTTGGACATTTGTGCTGTTTCCATGTTCTTGTGATGGTGAATAATGCTGCTGTGAACATTGGTGTACAAATCTCCATTTTTGTCTAACTTCTAGTTTCCTCAGAGTCTATTCCTAGTAGTGGAATAGTTGGGTCATTTGGAGTTTGTATGTATGTTCAACTTCTTGAGGAAAGGCCAAATTGTCTTCCAGAGTGGTTGCACCATTTTACAATCCCATCTACAATGTATGAGAATTGCCACCTATCCATATCCTTTCCAACATTTATTACTTGCTGCCCTACTAAACTTTGCCACTGCTGCTGGGGTGAGATGGTATCTCATTGTCGTTTTGATTTGTGTCTCTTACTGGCCAGTGATTTTGAGCATTTTGTCATTGAATACTCTGCAGCACTCAGGAGCAAAGATTTTGAAAAATACAACATCACTTGGGAGAGACTGGAGAGCATTATGCTGAGTGAACTAGCACAGTCTCATAAGGACAAATATTACATAAGATCATCATTGTAAAAATAGAAGAATAACTAGTAAAACATGTACAGGAACTCAAGGTGGAGGAGGGGGGAGTAAAGGGGTAAGTAGCAGTGAAACCAAAGGGCTACAGTTTGGTGGGTGGAGGTAGGGAAGCAAATGGGAAGCATCCGGGTCAAAAGACAGGGTAATGATGGGCAAGGTCCAATGGTGATTGATTTTATAAAACATAATGTATTAGAAAAATTGTATGAAACACAATATATATAAACTTTGTAAGCAAGCCAATTTTTAAAAAAGGTTAAATAGAATGTATATGGGGGGAAAACAAACAAAAAATCATTTATACCTGATTTTTTAAAAATGTTATTTAGGATCTCTGAGCTTCTGTTGCCTGAAGCTCTGGGGCTTGGTTCCTTGGCTTCCCTTTTGAACCGTGTTTCGTCATATTTTCTGGCATCCTGATGGTGATTTGCCTATTAATGTCTGGACCCCTGTCTGATCTGACTTGACCATTACTGGTGTCCTACAGTGAATAGAAAATGCTCATTAAATATATTAGGCCTATTCTTATTCCTAACTTTCATTTGAGCTGCACCATATCCATTTGTAGATAAAGTTGGCAAATAAGTCTTCAGTAGACTTTTAGCAGCAATATTATTATTATTTGACATCTGCGTGAATACTGTGGTAATGATGGTAATTTTTTTTATACCCAGATGCTTGTAACCTTTCCATTTTGATAAGAAAGTTTTAAATTGTTTAATGAATTTCCCCCCTTATTTCTAATTGATTTGTCTAGTTTCTCTTAGAAATTTAAAATCAGGCGTATTTTGTTTTTATACAGAAGTGTTCTATCTAGAATATCAAGTACAATGATCTTAAGCTTTTAAAGAAAAGAAAACAGTGAAATGGATTGTAATCATTTCAGACTATAATTAAAAGGGGAATGTTAATGTTTTTCATATTCCTGTTGTCTAATTTTAATATTCTAATAGTTTTGTTTGGAGCAAGACCATGCTTTGTTACCATTTCTGGTAACTAAGTTTCTGCTTTGATTCTCTGTCTTTTTTCCAAAGACTAAAATTGATGTCACTTGACTGGTACTAATATAGTAGAGTGTGCTGCAAAACAAATCGAAACAGGATTCTTAGGATGTGGCTTTGGGTTTCAGAAGCTTAAGAAAAACCCAGTATCACCCATTCAAGAATATCTTTGTGTTCTACCTGTTTCTAGGGTTACAGCTGAAGTAAAGCACAACGTCACCAACACTGTGGTGTGCAGAGTGCAAGGAGAATGGAATAGTGTTCTTGAGTTTACATATAGCAATGGGGAGACAAAGTATGTGGATTTGACTAAACTGACAGTGACAAAGAAGAGAGTAAGACCTCTGGAGAAACAGGATCCATTTGAATCCAGGTATTTCATCCTAGTCCTCACCAACCACTGAGAAGCCAAAAAGTGCAAACAGTCCATCACCTGGTTTAAGAAGTTAGATACTGTGAAACTACATTCTGTAAAATAATGGGAAAAACAAAACTGTAGTTTCAGAAAGATAATTAGTGACTTCCTGGACCAGGCCAGAAACTGTGGAAAAGGATTAACTGAGATGCAAAAACTTTTGAGGATTATGGAAATATTTTTTTTTCTCCTTGGGGTGGTGACTTCAAAACTGTGTATGTTTATTAGAACTCATTTCATATTTTAAATTGATAATTTTGACTTTGTGAATTATAATCCATAGCTGGTTTAAAAAGTAAATAACAACATAGAGTAAGGGAAAGGAATTTGTATGTATTTGAAAAGTTTATATTGTTAAAAGTAGGAGCTCCTAGATGGCACAGATAACACCACTCAGCTATAGCTGAAAGTCTGGAACCTGCCCCACGCACCTTGGAGGAAAGGCCTGGCAGTCGGTTTCCGGAAGCTGGCAGCCTTGGAAACTCTTGGGAGAAGTAGAATTGGTTTTTTTCCTTTGGTCTAACTAGAAGTTAGAACCAAATTTGGTCTCAGGGATTTTATTTTTGATCTACTGCTTTCCTATTTTATTTCCTCCACCTTTTTTCTTTTATTTTGTGCATCATTTATTGGTAACATACATCAGGAATCAGCAACCTTTATTTCTATAATGCAAGATGGTGACTATTTTAGTTTTAACAGACTAAACATTCCTTTTCTTTTCTTTAATACTTTTCCCATTCATTCATTGTTGAACATTTTCCTCCCTGCCCACCTCCCAGGTTGCTTTTTAAACATTCATATGTGTGTGTGTGTGTACACACTGTCAAATCAGATCTGACTGGTACCCCCTCCTCCAGCAGAGCATCTGGTGAATTCGAACTGCATACCTATGGTATTGCAGTACAGCTTCTTGCCACTAGGCCACCAGAGCTCCCTAAACATTCTGTTTTTTACACCTCCACAGCACTCCCACTGTGGAATGAAAGTAGCCATTGATTAGAATAATGCTACTGTGTTGCACTAACAGTTTGTTTACAAAAATAGCAGACTGCAGTTCATTGAATTTTCCTTTGGGTTATTAATTCTTATTTGCTCTTATTAGTGCTATGTATTTATCTCTTTTTTAAAATTGTGAATTTAATGAAAGTATACAGAAAAGTTGAATTGTCATTCACTGTTTCATGGTTTTTATTTCTATCTTGAGTATTCTTTATCTCTGTCCCCCATCTTTTGAAAAATTTTGTTTTACGTCAGAATATTTTCAGATTTCCCTTGTGAATATTTAATCTCCAAATGCACAGGGATTTTCCAGATAATCTTTTCATTATTCATTTTCAGCCCTTTAAGATTTGGTTTTTGGCCTAGGACTTACTCTGTTTTGGTAAATATGTACAGTTAACAAAATTATGTAGTCTGTTGATATTGAATCTGTTATTATTGTATGAGTGAGAATATTCTATAAATGTAAATTAGACAAGTGGCTTGATAATATTTTCCTAGTACTTTGTACTATTCTTCTTTTCTGTTTACTTATTCCATTGCTTGAGATCAGTTATTAACATATTTAGTTGTATTTCAGTGTCTTCCGTTGTAGCTCTGTAAGTTTTCATGTTTTTGAAGCTCAGTTATAAAGAACATTTACATACAGGATTGTTCTGCTCTGCTGACACATTCACCACTTGATCCTTTGAAATTATCTCTTGATAATATCTCTTGCTTTGAATTCTAGTTTGTCTAAAATTGCCATCTTAAAAAACAAACACATACTATATTAAATTTCTTTTTACACATTTTGAAATAAACTAATTTTAAGTTTACAATTCAGTGGCTTTAGTGAGAGATGCAATCATCACTATATATCAGTTTTATAATGTTTTCCTCCTACCAACAAGATCCTTCACACCCATCACAGTTAATTCATCTTCATACTCTACCCGACTTCCGGCAACCGCTAACATAAGGCTGTAACTATTTTTTTTATTATTAGTTTTAATGAAAGTTTCCAGAGACTTTGGATTTCCATTCATTCATTGTTGTACTTTTCTCCCTGCCCACCCCTCCCCCCCAGTTCACTCTTCTTTTGAAAAGTAAAAAATTCTTTCATTGTTATGTAACCTCTCCCTCCAAGTCCACTCCACTATGCAGCTTTTGTTCTGGATTCCTGTCATGACAATAATACTCAATCTTATATGCCACTCAAACAGTTCTCTCCCTCATTTGCTTCAATGCAGTGTACATAGTTTATCCCTTCTTTCTCAGTCAGTCCTGTTTTACAGCAGTGGCACTATGTAGTATTTGTCTTTTTGTGACTGAGGTACTTCACTCAAGACTGTCACTACTAATTTTCCTTTTCAGGACATCTCATGAATGGAATTCTACAGTATTCCCTATCTTGTGCCTGGCTTCTTTGACGTAGCATAATAGTTTTGAGATTCATCTATAATTTTGCCTTTGCATTCCCCAATTGATAGGACATTTAATGGTTTCAATTTTGAATGACTATAAATATTGCTACTAGTATAGAAGAGGCCGTGATACTAGGGACATCATAGCAAATGTTAGGTGGATCTTGGCTGAAAGCATAGCGTACCAGAAGAGTATCTGTCGTTGTTTCATTAACTATACAAAGGCATTTGACAGTGTGGATCATAAATTGTAGCTAACCTTGAAATGAATGGGAATCCCAGAACACTTAATTGTGCTCATGCGAAACCTGTACTTGGACCAGGAAGCAGTAGTCAGAACAGAGCATTAAAATACTGCATGGCTGAGGATCAGGAAAGGTGCATATCAGCAATGCATCCTATCTCCATACCTTTTCAATCTGTATGCAGATCATTTGGGAAACTGGGCTTTATGAAGAGGAGTGTGACATCAGGATTCGACAAAAACTTGTCAACAACCTGCATTATGCAGATGCTCAAACCTTGCTTGTTGAAACTGAGGAGACCATAAAGCATTTGCTGCAGAAGGTCAAGGACTGTAGTCTTCAGTATGGATTGAATATCAACATCAAGAAGACAAAGATAAAGGAACTCTAGTGGCCTGGTGGCAAGAAGCTGCACTGCAATCCCAGAGGTGGTGGTGGTGGTGGTTGTTGTTGTTGTTATGTGCCGTCGAGTCACTTGGGACTCATAGCGACCCTATGTACAACAGCCCTAAACTCTGCATTGTCCTGTGCCAATCTCACTGTCTCTGACACTCCCATCCCAATTATCCCAGTCACTGGATCAATCCACCTCATAGAGGGCCTTTCCTGCGCTGTCCCTCCACCCTCCCAAGCATGATGTCCCTCTCCAAGGACCGGTCTCTCCTCACAACATGTCCAAAGTAAGCTAGACG